GATCTCTGTGAGTTCGAGACTAGCCTCATCTATAAGAGCTAGTTTAGTTCCAGGACAGCCTCCAAAGTCACAGAGAAAACCTGTCTAGAACGCCCTCCCAACCGAGAGAGAGAGAGAGAGAGAGAGAGAGAGAGAGAGAGAGAGAGAGAGAGAGAGAGAACTAATACTGACACTATCACTTGGTCAAGTTTCATTTCTGTTGCTGTGATAGATACCTTTACCAAAAGCAACTTACGGGAGAGAGGGCCTTATATGGCTTACAGTTCTAGGTTTCTGTGCATTTTTGAAAGGAGTCAAGGCAGGAACTCAAGCTCAATAGTATAATTCATAGAGAAGAACAGAAAGAAATGAATGCACCTTGCTGGGTGCTGGCCTCACCTAACTTTCTCCTGTCCTATACAGTTCAGAAGCTCTGCCAGGGAATTGTGCCACCCATAGTGGGCTGGGGCTTCCCACATCATTTAGCAAGCAAGATTGTCTCCCAGAAGTCAACTTCATCTAGGCAACTCCTCCGTTGAGGCTTTCTTCTCATGTGATTCTAAGTTGTGGTACCTTAAGATTCAGAACTAAACAACATGGGTCTCTATGACAAGGGAAAAAATAAAGCAGCTAGCATATTAGGCGGTTTTTATGACATACTAAACAAAATTTTTTTTTAAAGATTCATTTATTATGTATACAGATTTTTGCCTGCATGTATATCTGCACACCAGAAGAGGGCACCAGATCTCATCATAGATGGTTGTAAACCACCATGTGGTTGTTGGGAATTGACCTCAGGACCTCTGGAAGAGCAGCCAGTGCTCTCAAACTCTGAACCATCTCTCCAGCCATAAACAAAATTTCTTCTTATTATTCATTACTGTTCTTATTATAGTGATGAATGTGAGTGAGTTGCTGAACCAGGCTACGCACACAGTCTACCACTGTGTTATATTACAGGCCCAGCTTCACTTAATTTATTATTATTATTATTATTATCATTATTATTATTAATTCAAGTTAGGGAACAGGCTTGTTTCACATGTAAGTCCCCTCTCACTCTCCCTCCTCTCACTCCCATTCCTTCTCCCCCACCTCCAACCTACTCCCCACCCCCTCCACCCCCCACTCCCCCCGCACGGGCGGGCCCCCCAC